GTGTGTGTGGGTGTGTATGTGTGTGTATGTATGTATGTAATTTTAAAGAAAATGGAAGCACCCATTAATTATAGTTAGGGAGGCCTATTATGGTGTTAGCCAATCACAAAGTAGGCAGTTATTACACTGTCATACTCTCAGGGCATGTTGGCAAATAGGGATGACACGTAAAATGACTATAACCAAAAGTCAGCCAACACCTGTTTCAAAATGGTAGGATAAAATCCCTTAATTTTGTCACTGCAAGTCCCTTAAAGCGGGCCCACCTGTTAATATAGTTAATTTTATCTTGTTAACATAAATAGGGCATTTAATTTGACACTTGACGTGTGCGGTATGGTTTAAGGGAATCATCAATTTATTGGCAAACTAACACGATCTTACTTATGTTCTGACGTAGGCCTATCCCGGAACCTGTCTGATCATAAACCACAAACAGGGGATGAAGTGCGTTTTTTTAATAGGCCTACAGCAACGCGTGGTGTAAAGGCTAATCGGCGTGCGGCCGTCAGGTCATGACCTGCCGACACCCTGTCAGGTTTAGAAGTCTCGACCTTATGGTAATAGCTCACAAACAGAATAAAGCGTGTACTAATTTTACTGGCGCTCGGAAAGAGACTACTCCATTAATGCTGTACACATCTACTCAACAACTATATATATAGGGCGAGTGTGCATTGCACAACTATTTAAATGACAGGTCCGCCATGAGTTAAGTTTAACATTTGCGTTAGCACTCACGCACGCATATACCAGTGAGCTATTAGTCTTCTGATTGGATGTGGTATTTAGACGCACTCTCTGATTCTCCGCACGCTGATGTAACTATGACATGATACTAGAATAGATAGTTCTCTAGGTGTTTATTATACCTGATTATACTTTCCGAACAACACATAGGTCAATTGGAGGAGGTCCTTAACCCAGCGACTTGTAGCCCTATTTCTTGAAGGCGAATTTTTGTACGTGTCAGTACAAATTTCAAGCATTTCTGGTTCCATTCTTGTGATGAATTACTGTTTTTAGCTTACCTTGTCGAAATATTAATTGGGCATATGAAGCTGAGAACAATGAACGCCAATTTGGGGTGAATGCTCTTTAGGTTTCTACCAATATGCTGCAATAGAAAAGTCACGTGACTGCTAAAGGTACAACTAAAATGTGGACCACGGCAACAGTAAGAAATGCGATAAGATAAAAACAATAATAATGTATTGAAGCCGTACCCAGGACACGCGACTAAGCCCTTTGTGCACAAGAGTAGGCCTAACGTACATTATTTTAGTTTTTGTTCGAATTCTTTTCATCGAAGTGCAGCACAAAAGTACAATGACCCGACAGGTACACAATCTGTGAAGTGGGTACGTCAGATCAAGACGAGCAAAATGTACAGTTTACAATCTCTAAATGAAACAAGGAATATATGTCTAATGCTATTGATCTAGGCCTATGCTCTTACACCAAGGAGGTATACCTCCATGCTTACACTGCCGGCGTAACAGTTTAACGACATGACAAATGTACTCTTTTAATTAGACGTCCAATGGTTGTCACTGACACCGTTTAGCACAATTTAAAATTCCAGACTTGCAAAACACACACTGTTGATATTATCAGATGGGTTCCCGCCAGGCCTGGTCGCTGTTTTGCCCGAGGAAACCCAGTCAGAGAGTACTCTGCCCCTTATGTGTACTTTTTTTCGTGCGTAGGTCAGTGAAAGGCTTAATGACAAGTCGGAGCCGAACTGGTAATCGTCAAAAAAATCCAAAGGAAGATCAAACTCCGAAAATTATTTGGAAGTCGAAAAGGTCGATCCAATTGTAAATAATTGCCTAACCGAATTACTATACAGAAATTACAATTAGATTCAATGGTCTGTAAAAAAACACTGTATGGAACACACACACACACACACACACACACACCCACACCCACACACACACACACACACACACACACACACACATATATATATATATATATTATTTATTTGTTTAGAAATATGTATTTTTATAGGTTATTACTAATGAAACATGTAAATTACGAGCTCATAATCTTGGTTCTAAAAACACTCCAATAATCTTTTAACGAATATTAATCTATAACATGGAATAACGTGTGTATTTTTTACAGCATATGCCTTTTTATACCAATGTCTAGATATTATATATTGCAGTTAATCTAAAAAATAAATATAGATCTGTTAATTATAATAATAAATGTAATGATAATAATCACAATCATCATTTTTACTATTATAATTTTATGTTTATTATTTTTTACTATTAGTATCGTTATTGATTTTTTAAGTTATTTTTATATTGTTACCATTAGTAGGCCTATATAATTATTATTATTATCTAATATTCAAATAAGTTTTGCTGCGTAGCACCGTAAACAAAACATAAACACATCGGTAAATACAAATAGGCCTAATGACAATATTCGTTGAAGAGCTATGCTTAATACTATTATAATATCTGTGTTCCTATTCGAACACTGTTATTATTTACTTATCTACATATTTATTATCGTTATCAATGTATCATTGTTATTATAATAATTAGTATTATTAGTGTAATATTGGTATGGCTATTATCGTTATTATTATTAACAGTATTATTATTATTGTAAATCGAGTTAGCACTGATAATTTATAAGGGAAATCAAATTTTCCAGTGTAGCCAACCAAGTGGCTATGAAAGTCTTTTGGTTCTTCTGTTTAATATCTAGATAATAATTAAAAGAGCAAACTCAACAACCTTTCTGCTAAGTACAGTAACCCTGTCGCGGATTTATGTCCTATGCTGCCTTGCACTCTCCTATCCAGTCACTTTCACGGTGCTCTAATTTCTGAATCTTAAACTGGATGGAACGACTGGTCACGCCCTTAAAATTCGCAACTTTACGCTCAAAGAAAAAAAAACTTGGACTCTGGCGTTTTCAATGGAGATTTCTATGTAATTAAATGTGACAATTACACCATTTTTTATGAAATAAATAACAATCAGCCAGAGTGAAAGCTAGATTAACTATAACTGACAGAATTCTCCCCATTACTAAATTGATAACGTGTGGTAATGACTACGATATGGTTTGCCTTCCAAAATAATAGTAAAGTACACATCAGTAATAAGGCACGGGGTGAATAGCCTATGAAGCAACTGATGCCAAAGTACAGAGTACGCTATCTTATCAAAAATTAAAGCGAATGAAGGAAGAAGTTTCTAATTAATAGTTTTATAGAATAAAATATTTATATTTCGTCTTTATATAAATATGTTTAGCGTTATCGCTGACATTCTAAATATATTAACTTTATAATATTGCATAGCAAGAAAGTAAACCTAACCTACCCAGTGTCGGCTATAAGTACTTTAGTATACGGTACCTTCTGACCAAGAGAGATACCATAGCCAATTGCAGTATCAATGATCACCGTATAACTGTGGTCGTGCTAACGGTTAGTGACCCTAAACAACTTGTTCGCTTTACCCCGCTGGCCATATATACTTTTACGAGGTAAAATAGAGGTGGTGATGATAGCTAGCACTCATAAGTGGTCCCGCTGAGTTTCTGAGAGTTTACTTCGATGTCAACGAGATCACGTGCCATATTTTCAACGTTTTAATCAAACTTGAAATTGATGATGTTGCGATTAGGTTAAAGGTACATTCGATTTGATTTGTGAGCTATTGTGATTCCTTCCCTATTCTAACTAGGTCATAAGCTGTATGTACAACAAAACTAATGTGATCTATCGTTTGTTTACATTTGAACTCAAATGGGGCGAAACACATTGGAAAAAGTAGAGTAGAAGAGTGAGATACATTCTCGTAGCTGCGATAGCACTTAAGTCTACAGACTCAAATAATATTTGTTTTGACACGGGTTTACGTGCTCCAGAAAAGTTTCGATGTTCAAGTTTGTATTAGCAATAGGTGCACCCATATAAAAATGACTATAGACCACCCAACAGACTAAAATAGTTATTTTCTGATGAAATTCGATGTTCCCGATGAGAGGGTAAGTGGCCAGGAAACAGGGCCACCAAAAACCCCTCGGAGAATGCCCGGGGAACAATTCAATTCAATTTTATTCAATGCAGCAAGCAAGCAGCAAGTTTAATAATTTGATGATTTAAAAGGCCCAAGCCAAACTAACCCTCACACTAATTACACTAGTAGGGCTACTAATTACAAGACAAAATAAAACAATTTACAAAAACAAATCTATAAAAGATCAAAAGAAAAAAAATGGAAAAGATCGAAGTTGTGTGATCTAAATTCGCAACGTTGCATTTGTTCCATCCCTAAATATAGATTAAAACTACATTGGACAGGCATGGTTATGGCTTTCGTGAAAAATACTCGTAGGATCAAAATATCATATCATCGAAAAGACATTTTCGAATAGTGACAGAGGGATACCAACTTAGCATAATGTAATACCAATAGCAAAATGTAATTTTTTTTTAAATTTTTTATTTCAATCATCTTTAAAGAGGGTAACCCTTCCAGTTTAGCCCAGTAGGTTAACTGATATTCAGGGGCCCTCTTTAATAAAATTAAAGAACAGTACAAACAACATCATTACAACATAATAATAATAATAATAATAACAACAACAATAATAATAATAACAATAATAATAACAACAACAACAATAATAACAAGAATAATAATAACAACATACAATCCTCATAACAAGTCTTAAAAGTATTAAATTGATTTACATAAAGACAATTCAAAATAGAAGTTTAATTTATAATGCCTAATATAATATAATGTAATATAATATAGTATAATATAGAATAAAACCAAACAATGTAATAATAAGAATAGTTCAATAAAACAGCAATAAACAACGGCTAAGAGTTTAAAATATATCGTTTCAACTTAAGTTTAAATGTATTTTCTATTCTGCAGTCCCGGAGCTCAATTGGTAAATTATTATAAAAATTAGGACAAAGATAACTAAATGCACGTTTAAAACATAATAATAATAATTTGATTTAAGTCAGTAAGAAGGACGAAACTACTGCAAATCACAATTTCCTCAAGTCGTCTAGTAGTAGACCTATAATACATTAATATTAATGACAAAATAAAATAGGCTCACATGCCTGTTATTCGTTTAGCCAAACTGTTTTAGAACTTCCGCAACTGTTGATTTGATCAAAATAAAAATAATGATACAATATTTAATTAACACAGATGGTAATAAATATTAAATATTACTTAATATGCCTATTTAATTATATAATAATGATACAGTAGTGAAAATAATAATAATACTTTAAAAATAACAGATGACAACAAATATTAAATAGGTATGAATAAATATAATAATCATAATGAATACTACTACTAATAATAATGATAATAATAATTATTATTATTACATTATAATAATAATTATATTATTAATTATAATTTTCGCTGGTATTTGGAGACGTACCGTACTACATATTCGGTACGATAACACTTCAGGTAGGGAAAAAACATCACTCCTATAATAATAATAATAATAATAATAATAATAATAATAATAATAATAATAATAATAATAATAATTTGATTTTGGCCAATTTTATTTAAAATGTTCATTATATTAATATTATAACAATCTTACAGGTTATAGAGATAAGTTTGAAAGTTATTTTTATATGACGCATTGTTCTATGTATCGGGCCCGGTAGGCCTATTATGAATTTTATAAAGGACATTTTTTTAAAAATAGATTTCATCTTATGCTATTTGAGTCGGCAACTGCCCATGGATAGTCTTGTAAACATGACAATTCACCCACACTTTTATTTCTGTTGTTTTTGACTTCGTTTGTTTTTAACAAGGTTGAAGAACGATAGATTTTGCACAATATCCGATTGAAACAAAAGCAGTTAATTGAAAAAAGATGCTATATTCTTTAATTGAACCGCTCACTATGGGATGACCGAGAGGAAGGGATTATAGAGAAAAACAACAGCAATAGTTCATAAAACTTTTTAATTAGTGTTAACGTAGTAAAAAAATAGAAAGTGAGATTATGTGTATATTTTATGTGTAAAGGCAATGTATTTAATTGAAGAGATTACCGTACCACTTTGAGAACTGCCTATACACTATCAGTAGTCTGTAATAAACTACATTATCATTATTACCATTGCTGAAGTAATGGAGAGAAATCATAGGTCTCCACACAATGATTCTTTAAACATTATTATGTGCACAGTTAAAGACTACTATACTTTGATGTGTACATAGGTCTGTATAACATGATAGGTCCCATGTGTTCATAACTATCAAAGAGAAACGGTGTAGACTCGACTCATGCTAAGATGTGTATAAGAGACAGGAATGGAACTGTGATGGTATATGAACAAGTGCCTTAGTATTATGATATTGAAACATTTGTAGTTGTTTTAGTGGTAGGCCTCAGTAGGAAAACCCTCTACAGGTCTACTCCATTACATTACATAATAAGCAAAATTGAGTAACTTGTCCCGTTTGCGAAAGTATTGAGCACTGAAATACTACTGTAGTCTAGAAAGAAGCTATACAAGGGCACTGCCCTCTGGAGTAATACTCATTTCCGAATTATCATATTAATTAAATGGCAAAGATGGAATATTGGAATTACAGAAAAGAAGGGAAAATATGCCTAATTTCAACTTATGAACAAAATGACAGCACAAAATCATGCATCCTAGAATAAGAATTTGTTTTTGTTTGTTTAAAATGCTGAGATTGGCATCATGATTAAAAGCCGGCATCGTGCTTATGATTCCGTATAACCAATAGCTTACCTTTAGAAATGGCATAACATCTACCGGATCTCCTGGCTGCAAAACCTGTGTAAATTTATTGTTTAAATCTTCAATTTCTAAAAATTCTGGATCGTCTATCGAATAAGTACGATTGAAGATCATATCACAAATGACATTTAATATCGTGAGATTTAAAGCTCTGCTAATGTTGGACACTTTGTTCGCCTGTTTCGATAGATTGTCAACAAGGTTTTCAACTTCGGTTTGGATTTTCAACTCAATCGGGAGGCAATTCTTTCCGCAGATATTATGGCGAACAGCTGTGGCGGCCAATTTACGGTGCAGTCGCCACACAGGCGAAAAGTCTTCGCTAAATGCGATTCCGCTGTTGTTTCTGGATAAAAGAGATGTTGTGTACATACGAGGGCGGCCTGCAAACTCATTGCCCTGGTATAACAGTGCCTGTCGGATAGTCTGAGCATCATGTAGGACAACAGCTAAGCCGGGGCCTAGCTTCAACGAAAATAGGTTACCGTATTTGTCACCGATGTTTTTCAGGATGCGAAACGGAGGTCCGCCCTGCATGAACACCGCGATGTTGCCCAGAATCGGAATGGATGGTGGGGAGGGGGGAATGATTTGGCCGCCTTTACGTCTTTGCTCAATTAATGTTCGGACTAACCATATACAGGTCACGAAAAGGAAAATCTCAAAAAACATTTTCGCTTTTTGGTGCGATAGGCAAATTGCTTCAAAATAGAAGGGAAATACTCCTCAATAGAAAAGAGACTGTTGGTAAGATGAGTTTCTTTTTCGCGTTGCTAATTGCAATCAATCCCCGGAATAATTTGGAGGTTCGCTTGTAAAAAAAAGCCCTTTAGACTTGGAACTCTAAACAAATTTACACATCTCAGAGCAATTCGTTACTGCAGGGTAAACACCTCCAACAATAAACAGAACGATCGGTCTTGGCTACATTATATAGGCTAGTCTCTTTCCATGCCAACAGAACCGCTGAGGGAAGAATTTTTCTCAATGGAGAAATCAGGGCGGTCCTTAGATCGCCAGGAAAAAATAAACCCATCAAAACAAAAGGAGATGATACTCGTCCAAACTGCAATCCATGAACCGACCAATACCTGACTAAATACTTTGTAGCACGTGACCAATTAAGAGGCAGGCAATTGATGAAGCGTAACGTGTGCAAAAATCGAAAAGTACAGGCGACCCCGATGTATGTATAGCACTAGATGACGCGGTTGGCTCGCTCTAGTAATCCGCAAGGGGTTTGCTATTATATCCGGCCAAAGGCATAGGGAAGGAGTTTGACAAGAAATTGGCAAAACCCTATCGCAAAAAAAAGTACAATTCGCACTCTTTAGAAGTTCAAAATTCTGTTTTCATGTTTGACGTCTAACTTTTAATTTAGTTGCCACTGACTCATGCTAGTAATAAAGCTATTTCCTTTAATTTTTTTAAAGAAAAATAATTGATTAATTGTGAAGAGAACAAAAATTGTTTATTTTTAGAAAACAATGATATTTAGAACAGGGCTATCTGGTCGCTAGACACAAAATACACATAGGCCTATGAATAACCAATAGGATATAGACCTAATACCGTACATAGGCCTATACCTGAAATTATCGATTTTCCAAAACAATATTAAAAACGATTTAATTTAATTGAGTTATAAGATATACGTGCTCTAAATAGCAATATGCATTTGGCTTATATGAAAATGTAATTTTAGTAGGCCAATGACGTGTTCTTAATACAGCAACACATGTTTATTTAACACAATATTTTGTTGCTAAAGTATCATCATTATCATTATTACAATTAGTAATATTATCAACATCATTGTGTTTAGTAGTATTAATGTTATTTACGATATTTTCCCATCTAAACATTCAGCAAATACCTAAACAAATAATATGTTACTTATGGATCATTGAAAATAATTGCAAAAGTTCAAGTTCAAGTTTTAATAAGTCACACATTTTTAAAAATATCAATGATTTACAGATATTTTACTACAAAAATCTTTAACTTTGCTGGCATAAATTTTTTGATAAGGTACATTTTTGTGTTCTCATTTGAAAGATAATAACACATATAGAAAGTAAAGTCAGTTTTTTAAATTTTCAAGTTTAATAGATATATGCCTACGTATTGGTAGGTATATATTTATATTAGTTTATTATTACTCTTAGCATTATTATTGCTATCACAACCATAATTATTGATATTATTATATTAATCTACTACTAAAATCATTATTTAAATTAGGCCTATCGGTATAGTCCTATTAACATTGATATCACAATAGGCCTAATGATATCGTTATCATTAACGTAGTCATCATCCTCATCTGCCCCAGCGTAATGGAAATACCGTATTTATGATTAAACATATTTACAAAATATTGTGGAGAATGGTTTTTCGGGGCCTCTATTCGAGGGAGGCGCTTATTTTTTGTATGCAAAATATACACTCAAATAAACGCCCCTAAAATTTCACTGAAAATGTGAAATACAACAACATACGGTAATTACCGTCAAAATGTGTTATTGTGTGGATATAAAGATGATTGATCCCAATTCGGGTAGATAAAATGGAGTAGAATTAATAGAATGTGCTGAAAATGATGTTGCTTCGATTAGTTTTGTTTACATTCATTTAGGGGGTGGGCGTTCATTCGAGAACAAAATATAGGCCCAGGGCGTTTTTTCAAGGAAGGCGTCTATTCATCAGCAGCAGCATTATTATTATTATTATTATCATCATCATCATTGTATTTGAAACTTTGAAATATATATATATATATATATATATATATATATATATATATATATATATATATAAG